TGGATGATTGTATGGATGGGTCTGTGTGGGTAGGTAGATAATGGCGTGGGTGGATGATTGTATGGATGGGTCTGTGTGGGTAGGTAGATAATGGCGTGGGTGGATGATTGTATGGATGGGTCTATTTGGGTAGGTAGATAATGGCGTGGGTGGATGATTGTATGGATGGGTCTGTGTGGGTAGGTAGATAATGGCGTGGGTGGATGATTGTATGGATGGGTCTGTGTGGGTGGGTAGATAATGGCGTTGGTGTATGATTGTATGGATGGGTCTGTGTGGGTAGGTAGATAATGGCGTGGATGGATGATTGTATGGATGGGTCTATTTGGGTAGGTAGATAATGGCGTGGGTGGATGATTGTATGGATGGGTCTGTGTGGGTAGGTAGATAATGGCGTGGGTGGATGATTGTATGGATGGGTCTGTGTGGGTAGGTAGATAATGGCGTGGGTGGATGATTGTATTGATGGGTCTGTGTGGGTAGGTAGATAATGGCGTGGATGGATGATTGTATGGATGGGTCTATTTGGGTAGGTAGATAATGGCGTGGGTGGATGATTGTATGGATGGGTCTGTGTGGGTAGGTAGATAATGGCGTGGGTGGATGATTGTATGGATGGGTCTGTGTGGGTAGGTAGATAATGGCGTGGGTGGATGATTGTATGGATGGGTCTGTGTGGGTAGGTAGATAATGGCGTGGGTGGATGATTGTATGGATGGGTCTGTGTGGGTAGGTAGATAATGGCGTGGGTGGATGATTGTATTGATGGGTCTGTGTGGGTAGGTAGATAATGGCGTGGATGGATGATTGTATGGATGGGTCTATTTGGGTAGGTAGATAATGGCGTGGGTGGATGATTGTATGGATGGGTCTGTGTGGGTAGGTAGATAATGGCGTGGGTGGATGATTGTATGGATGGGTCTGTGTGGGTAGGTAGATAATGGCGTGGGTGGATGATTGTATGGATGGGTCAGTGTGGGTAGGTAGATAATGGCGTGGGTGGATGATTGTATGGATGGGTCTGTGTGGGTAGGTAGATAATGGCGTGGGTGGATGATTGTATGGATCGGTCTGTGTGGGTAGGTAGATAATGGCGTGGGTGGATGATTGTATGGATGGGTCTATTTGGGTAGGTAGATAATGGCGTGGGTGGATGATTGTATGGATGGGTCTGTGTGGGTAGGTAGATAATGGCGTGGGTGGATGATTGTATGGATGGGTCAGTGTGGGTAGGTAGATAATGGCGTGGGTGGATGATTGTATGGATGGGTCTATTTGGGTAGGTAGATAATGGCGTGGGTGGATGATTGTATGGATCGGTCTGTGTGGGTAGGTAGATAATGGCGTGGGTGGATGATTGTATGGATGGGTCTATTTGGGTAGGTAGATAATGGCGTGGGTGGATGATTGTATGGATCGGTCTGTGTGGGTAGGTAGATAATGGCGTGGGTGGATGATTGTATGGATGGGTCTATGTGGGTAGGTAGATAATGGCGTGGGTGGATGATTGTATGGATGGGTCTGTGTGGGTAGGTAGATAATGGCGTGGGTGGATGATTGTATGGATGGGTCTGTGTGGGTAGGTAGATAATGGCGTGGGTGGATGATTGTATGGATGGGTCTATTTGGGTAGGTAGATAATGGCGTGGGTGGATGATTGTATGGATCGGTCTGTGTGGGTAGGTAGATAATGGCGTGGGTGGATGATTGTATGGATGGGTCTATTTGGGTAGGTAGATAATGGCGTGGGTGGATGATTGTATGGATCGGTCTGTGTGGGTAGGTAGATAATGGCGTGGGTGGATGATTGTATGGATGGGTCTATTTGGGTAGGTAGATAATGGCGTGGGTGGATGATTGTATGGATGGGTCTGTGTGGGTAGGTAGATAATGGCGTGGATGGATGATTGTATGGATTTGTTCATTTGGGTAGGTAGATAATGGCGTGGGTGGATGATTGTATGGATGGGTCTGTGTGGGTAGGTAGATAATGGCGTGGGTGGATGATTGTATGGATGGGTCTGTGTGGGTAGGTAGATAATGGCGTGGGTGGATGATTGTATGGATGGGTCAGTGTGGGTAGGTAGATAATGGCGTGGGTGGATGATTGTATGGATGGGTCTGTGTGGGTAGGTAGATAATGGCGTGGGTGGATGATTGTATGGATGGGTCAGTGTGGGTGGGTAGATGATGGTGCAGATGGGTCGATGGCGGTCGATAATTGTACGGGCGAATACTTCAGGGTGGGTCAGTGGTGTGGGTGGGTGGATGAATGTATGGGCGAATACGTCAGGGTGGGTCTATGTGGATAGGTAGATAATGGCGTGGGTGGATGATTGTATGGATGGGTCTGTGTGGGTAGGTAGATAATGGCGTGGGTGGATGATTGTATGGATTGGTCTATTTGGGTAGGTAGATAATGGCGTGGGTGGATGATTGTATGGATGGGTGTATTTGGGTAGGTAGATAATGGCGTGGGTGGATGATTGTATGGATGGGTCTATGTGGGTAGGTAGATAATGGCGTGGGTGGATGATTGTATGGATGGGTGTATTTGGGTAGGTAGATAATGGCGTGGGTGGATGATTGTATGGATCGGTCTGTGTGGGTAGGTAGATAATGGCGTGGGTAGATGATTGTATGGATGGGTCTATGTGGGTAGGTAGATAATGGCGTGGGTGGATGATTGTATGGATGGGTCTGTGTGGGTGGGTAGATGATGGCGTGGATGGATGATTGTATGGATGGGTCTATTTGGGTAGGTAGATAATGGCGTGGGTGGATGATTGTATTGATGGGTCTGTGTGGGTAGGTAGATAATGGCGTGGGTGGATGATTGTATGGATGGGTCTATGTGGGTAGGTAGATAATGGCGTGGGTGGATGATTGTATGGATGGGTCTGTGTGGGTAGGTAGATAATGGCGTGGGTGGATGATTGTATGGATGGGTCAGTGTGGGTAGGTAGATAATGGCGTGGGTGGATGATTGTATGGATGGGTCTGTGTGGGTAGGTAGATAATGGCGTGGGTGGATGATTGTATGGATGGGTCTGTGTGGGTAGGTAGATAATGGCATGGGTAGATGATTGTGCAGATGGGTCTGTGTGGGTGGGTAGATGATTGTGTGGGTGGGTTGGTAGATGATTGTATGGATGGATGATTGTAAGGGGTGGGTTGGTGTGGAGTAGATGATGGTATGGGTGGATGGGATAGATTGAGTGAATGGTCATGTAAGTGGTTGGTGGTTGGTCATTTGTTGAGTGAGTGAGGATGAAGACGGTTTGATGTTTACCCTCCAGTTTGACTGAGGGTGTTGGCCTTAGCCTTGTACAAGGAAGCCTCAGGACTGGGCTAAGATGGGTGACACTACCGGAAGGCATTTACCCAGGGAATGTTGTATGTGTGGAGGTTTAGCAGAGTGTCGCTGTGTGTGAGTGTCACCGTCGATCTGTGCCGAGGGGATGGGGAGTCTGGAAGCTGTACCTGGGGGTAGCCAGGTAAGATGACAGCTCGGTGAGCACACCAACAATCCTTGTAAAACATTGACATGTGCTGTACCTGTCTGAGACGAGATTGGGGTAAGCTGCGTCTTGTGTGCCGATGGACTACTGTAGATTGATCTGTACATGCGCGGCCTGACTGTCTGCGTGGATGTGGCTGCTGCTAATGTAGATGTTGTTGTGTCAGGGAGCCCACGTCAAACATACAACTGAAGAACCAGGCAAATAAAGCAAGTCTGTCAAACTACACATGACACAAAGCCGATGCCTTCCTAAATGTGTGTTACAGTAAGAGTTGCCCATGTTCCTCTTGTGGCCAATGAGGTATTGGGAATGTGGCAGGTTGTGATGATGGGTTGTCACAGGTGTCAGTTGATGTCATCTTCCACCTGCCCAGGAACTCCTAGTGGGTAGGTGTCTCAGAGGTTGAGCTTTGACTAACTGCTCACAAGAACTGTGTTCGATTCTCCACATGGATACAACCAATATGTGGAGCCAATTTGTGGTGCTTCCTTTCTGTGATATCAACATGGATTTATCCCATACTTAATCAAAAGATCAACATCTACTTGTGGTGCCAAAGTCACATACCAAAACATATGGCGATCAATAGGTCATTTCCACATGCTGGCCAATTGGTATGGAACAATCTGCAACAAGAAATCCAAGAAACAGAAAATCTGGGAAACTTTAAAAAGACACTCAAATCCTGTCTCTTCAAGAAGGCGTTTGACATGGTCTACAATGGTCTAAGCACATTTGAGCAATTTAATTTAATTGAATAATCATGGACTTATCCCATACTTAAAGATGCAGTATCCCATACCTTAACATTGAGTATCCCATACTTAATCATTGACTTATCCCATACCTTAACATTGAGTATCCCATACTTAATCACAGAATTGTCCCATACTTAAACATGGCGTATCCCATACTTAAACATGGCGTATCCCATACTTTATCACAGACTTTTCCCATACCTAAACATGGAGTATCCCATACTTAATCAGAGTTATCCCATATGTAAACAATTAATATTCCATACTTAATCACAGACTTATCCCATACCTGAACATGGAGTATCCCATACTTAATCACAGACTTATGCTAGTGGCAGCGCTAACAATCTTTGTGGAACTGGCCTCTCGTCTTCTTCATGCATTGTTACAATATGGCCGGACTGTTTGACATTAGCTCACTCACTCTGGTGGAATAGCGCAGAAGCTGACAGAACATTTGTCAAACTAAACTTGTATAATACTGTGTTGTCAGATTTATCCTACTTATCCAGACTTGCCCAACCTGTATACAGTTACACCTTGTTTATTGGGACGTTCTGGTTGCATCTCGTACGTCCCAACGTAACAACACATGGCATGGCACTGACATAACTGTGGCACCATCAAGGTGCTGTTGTCATGGTAACCTGGACTCCCAGTATTTGTATGTTTCTTTACCTTCTGGTTGCTCTGACAATGGTGTGTTTCTCTTCTCCAGGTGTGAGGATGCATGGAGGTGGTGCCCGGCTACACTGACGTACACGACTTCGCCCCGAGAGGCATGGTATTAAGGGGGCCGGCTTGCTGTCAATAAGCTAGGCCGGGATAGAGGTGCAAACATGGCCTCTTCGGGGCCCATAGCAGAGCAGGAGGCCGTGGCAAGTACACAAGAGGACGAAGGTCGCGGAGATGTCGGCATGGCGACAGGTGAGGATCTTGGGATATATGCACCCGGAAATGTACGAGATCTGTGACATCTCACCAACTCTGGTCGAATGGCGGCTGTGTTGACCAAGATGGAGTTAGAATCTTTTAAACGTTGTCTTAGCAGGGGGATGAGGGTGTGTTTGTGTAGTGTCTGAATCCAGTTGTGTAAGAACTTCGTGGGCGAGACTTGATTATGGTGTCTTAATTTGGCGTTCAATTACTGGCGACTTGGCTGAGACATGATGCAACTGTTGGCAGACGACCCCGGCATGTTTGGCAGGGATTCAGTGGAGAGGCTTTCAATTACGGAGCTGAGCCTTGTTCAACATGCGTCGCATGTTGTAAGTCCTCACAAAATAACTGGCTGTTTACTACAAGCTTTAACAAAGTGACGAAAAGGAGGACAGTTGACATACATTTGTTATAAAAATATTTGAATCCTTTGACGAAATATAGTTCCAACCTTACTGAGTCTCAATCAGGCAATAGATGGGTATTGGTTAGTACAGAAGTAGGAAGTTGTTAGGGAGGGGGTATATGGACAGTGATGACCCTGTAGGAAGTTGTTAGGAAGGGGTATATGGACAGTGATGACCCTGTAGGAAGTTGTTAGGGAGGGGGTATATGGACAGTGATGACCCTGTAGGAAGTTGTTAGGGAGGGGGTATATGGACAGTGATGACCCTGTAGGAAGTTGTTAGGGAGGGGGTATATGGACAGTGATGACCCTGTAGGAAGTTGTTAGGGAGGGGGTATATGGACAGTGATGACCCTGTAGGAAGTTGTTAGGGAGGGGGTATATGGACAGTGATGACCCTGTAGGAAGTTGTTAGGGAGGGGGTATATGGACAGTGATGACCCTGTAGGAAGTTGTTAGGGAGGGGGTATATGGACAGTGATGACCCTGTAGGAAGTTGTTAGGGAGGGGGTATATGGACAGTGATGACCCTGTAGGTTCGAATCCCGGGTTTGAGTCAACCCCAAAAGTATGAGAATCTGTACTTTACTAAGAAAGTGTTACCCAAATTATAACATTAGTTGCATTTTACCACGTTCTAAATGGCATTGTGTATTCATAGTATTGACCCTGTAGGAAGTTGTTAGGGAGGGGGTATATGGGACAGACAGTATTGGTTCTGTGGGAAGTTGGTAAGGAGGTGGTATATGCTGACCATGCTGACGTGATATATGTACTGTTCAAAGTGATGTTAAACAAGACTCACTCACTCACTCACTCACTCACTCACTCACTCACTCACTCACTCACAATATTAAAGTAGTTCACAAAACAGTCTTACATCTTACAAAGCATGACAGTTTCAGCACATTGATTTTGATTTAAACCTATAAGCGCCTGATATCCTGATGGCTGTTAAGTAGCTGGATTGCCCTGCAACTGCTAGGATCTCACCAACACGTAATGGGTGGCTTTCAATATAAACTCTGAAACAGTCAAAGATGGGGCTGTCTTGTCTGCATCAAGAAGCAGCTGGGTGCTCCTGGTTCTCCGTGTAATTAGGTCCAATTAGGCCGATGTAACTGTATCTAGTGAGGAAGTGACGGGTCATCATTACCCACTGACACCGTGATCAGTGGCGGTGTCACGGACAGAGCTGCTGTCGTCCATCACTGCTAAATAGATAGCACTGAACTACCACCATCACACAGTTCCCTAGGGTAGTTGATAGGCAAACTGATTGTATACAGCTTAATTATAAACTAAGAGGTTTTTATCCAACACCATTAGTTTGTAAAGTGTGATGGGAGCACCTGTCATTTAATGTCGGGTATTGGTAGTCTAGGCTTTCAGGTAAATACATCCTCCTCCAAGTATGTCCTTTTTTGGCAACCCTCCAAGGGCTGTAATTGTTTTCATGGGTTTGAACATTGTTGAAATTCTTTTTATTGAAATCAAATATTGTTACTGTGAAATGACTATCAGTGTTGTGTTAGGTTCATTTTTTTCACCATCTTCTCGATGAACATGTCATTTTTATATATTTCATTTCTTATATTCTCCAACCCACTTGACTTGGATATAATGACTGGTCCCTTGGTGAGACTCTGATTGGGTGATTACAACATGGTGGGACACATTGATAATAATGACCGGTCCCTTGATTGTGTGATTACTACTTATTTGGAACTGGGATGTAGCATAGACCAGATCAACCTCTAGGTATGGAGGCTCGCAGTCCAATCACTGTGTGTAACATAAACCTTCCCAGCATGCCCTCCTGGACTGTCTCCCAATGTTGTTATTCTCCGTGATCTGACAGGAACTTGCTAGACAAGAGGCGCTGTTCCAGGAATAGGAGAGATTGGATCCATAGATTCCCTTTGTGCTCAGAACTAATTGTTACAAAATAACATGTTGTAATATTCACACCAAATGGCCTTGTCAGCATGTTTCATGACTGTCACACCTCATTTAGGTAATGAAAAATTGATAAAAAAATTGTTTAAAAATACCTGGGAAGTGAGTAAGTTTTTAGGCCTCTTTTAGAAAAATCCATCAATTGGGAGAATCAAACTCTGGCTTCAGTATGACAAGCTGCTGCTTTAACCACTAGACTACCCACCTGTGGAGTGAGGTGACTGTGACAGTGGAGACTTTACCCTGACACTGGGCGTCTGAGCAGAGACCATATAATAGATATTACATGGTGTTTGGTTAAAGATTACGCAAGGGACTTGTAGATGATTCACTCCAGACTCCAGACTTCGCCTTGCTCCAAGTCTGTACTGAAAAAGTCTTGGATGTGTAATAATTCTATCCTCCTAAGAGGCAAGTCTAGATGTGTGACAGTCTAAGGACTCCCGTCTATTGAGATATGTAGTAAGTTGGATTCATTGTCAGTATTGCCTCTTGTATATAAACCCTCAGAAAATAGGAATTATGACAATGTTTCATACCAAATAACATGTCCCACTCTGTAGGCTCATGCATGTGTCAGTTTGTATCAATATGTTACTTTACACAGTTATAACATTGTCAGCTCTACAATCATTCCCAGATGCTCTGGCTCTCTTCCCCACAATAAACAGACCATTATATCTGACAGAACACATCATCCTTCACATCGGTCCACAGACACAATCGTGTTGCACTCAACTACACTGTTACTTGAAGTTCTGTTTGTCGTAAGAGGCGACTAACAGGACGGGGTGGTCCACCTCGCTGACTTGGTTGATGCATGTCATCGTATCCCGATTGCGTGGATCGATGCTTATGACATGATGTCAATTCCTGGGTTGTTTGGTCCAGACTCAATTAATAACAGACCGCCGTTATAAAGCTGGAATATTGCTGAGTGCAGCGTTAAACAATAAACAAACAAACAGTTACTGCTTTTGTCAATATTATCATCAAATCATATGCATAGTTGAACTTTTATGTTAATTTTTGTTTTTGAACTATTTAAGTCACCCTGAAGTTCAATCAGCCGTGTCAGCATTTTCCCTGACTGACGACATATCTGTTTCCATGGCAACAGATGTCAGTATCATATGTAGTTGTTCGTGTGATTGTTGGTTCAGTCGGCAGTGACAGATGTCTGTTCAATGGCGTTGAAATCAGAATGAGTGGTTGTGTGGGGTTCCCATGTGAAGATGTGGTTTTAGTGGTGGTGGTGTACGAAGCACGTCACCTGACACCACTTGATTGTCTGCATATCTTCCCTGATCTACCTTGTGTTTTAAATTGTTATTTTAAAGTATTTTTGTTCCCCAGGGAAAGGATGCCAGTCTGAATTAGGTCTCTGATGGTTTGAAACTTCGTGGCTTACAATTGATTGTTGATGTTTGAGAATAAAAATAAAAAAAGGCATCTCCGAATTTCTGACTCATTATTGGATGTGTGACTGGCATATATCAACACCACTGTCACAGGAACTCCAACAGAACAATGACTTTAAAGATGCCACGCTGTATGTAGAGTAGTTATTAGGATTGTTGGCTGTTCCTGATGTTCGGCAAGTTTGATCAATGAAGCTGGATGAGGGCGTATGTACATAAAGGAAAGATAATATACTCACCGCCAAAAGAAACGCAAACCACAGGAACATATAGAGAAGTGTGTACATTAAGAAGATATGTTTCCAGTGTGCACCAATTAATATAAAACTAACAATTAGTCAAGTGTTACTACAGAGTGTCTTTACTCTTACAGACCCGTGAAGATCCAGGGTAGAATAGGTCTTCAGCAACCCATGCTTGTCGTAAGAGGAGACTAATGGGATCGGGTGGTCAGGCTCGCTGACTTGGTTAATGCATGTTATCAAAGATCAATGCTCATGATGTCAATCACTGGATGGTCTGGTCCAGACTTGATTATTTACAGACCAGCATCATATGGCTGGAATATTGCTTAGTGTGACGTTAAATAACAAAAAACAAACAAATCTTTGTTCTTATCAAAATATGCTGCACAATAAACTTTACGCGCTAATCCTGCTGGAGACAAATGGTCCTGTTGGAGTCATGGATGCGTCACATGTGATGCGTTCATGAGCGCTGGTTCACACAACATACCAGTATGATCATTTGTCCGTCAATCCAGTCTGATATATCTTGTATGTGAGGACGTCTTCATATATTAACCCACATGTATGGTATACTTGTTTCTTGTACCAATCCACTCACTCACCCACTCAGCTCACTCACTCACACAAACACACTCACTCACTCACTACCTGGTAGATATACTGGAATTGAATATAATGAAAAATTATATCCATATTGTAAATCAAGGGGCCATTGCTATATTTTAGATGAGTACCATGTGTTATTTGTTTGCGGTATTTATAAAGAAAGTAGAAAGTATTTTGTAAATTTATTAATATACCATGCACGCTGTAGTTAGTATTTTCCAAAATAAACACCAGGAAGATCTATAACATTTGGGATGGGGGGTGGGTTCTGTTTTATGTCTATAAAATTATAAATTCTAGAAATTAAAGAAAAATAATCTGAAAATAGGATACATGTCTACCTTGCCTACATGTTTGTAAATGTGTATGCATAAATATTAAATCTGTCTGTATTTTGGGCCAAAGGCCTTATACCGAATAAATTTGTCTTGTCTCGTCAATAATACCAATCCACTCACTCACACAAAAACTCACACAGTAATACCAATCCAACCATTCCCTTGCTCTCACTCACTCACACTCAATTGTACCACTCACTCACTCACTCACTCACTCACTCACTCACTCACTCACTCACTCACTCACTCCCCTTCGGAATCTGCCTGTGATTGCTCACAGTGCACAGGTATTAAAACCCTGGCAGGTGAAGTCCTCCCGGTATGTGTGGCTATTGTGTCCTTATAAGGGAGTTCCGAGGCTCGACATGCTTATATAGGGCCATGTAAACAAGGCTTGTTGATAAACATATTGTCTCTGGCTGCGAGCCGTGTGGGCCCAATATGCTGGCATGCTTTAACCTCAGTGTCAATATACTCTTCACGTAGCGAGTCACAAAATGATACCAGTTGTTACTTCCTGTCACAGTCGTGTAACTGTTTAGTCGCTTGTCACAAATGTTGGCTTTTCTGGTTTCAGACCCTAAAGAAGGCAAAAAGTCCCGTAAGTTCAAGCCATTTGAGGCCATGCGGAAATTATTCAAGGGAGGTCGAAAACGTACTAAATCTAAAGATGACAATCAGATCAGTGTGGTGTCTGTCAAGGCCAAGTCAACCACGGCTCTGATGTCAGCCGGCAGCTTTGACGACGATGACGACAGCGATGGAGGGTAAGTGGTCATTGCAAATACAAAATAAACAATAATATTATGAAACTGGACAAATTCACATATGCAGTTTTTGATATGGATTGTTTGTGCTTTGAGAACAATCACAGTACACACACCTTCTTTGCAGAGAGATACATTGTGTTACATCATCTGACCAAACAATGTCAGTACACACACTGTCACTATCTAGAGGTTTATTATACCCCTGTTTACGAAGTAAATCGGGGGTATATAGCGTTCCGTTCGTCTGTCCTTCCGTCCTTCCGTCCGTCCTTCCATCCATCCTTCCGTCCGAGCTTTTGTACGGCCCATAACTTTTTAACCATGCACCCTAGCTCCACCAAACTTGCTACACACATTTACCACAATGAGTACTTGTGCCTTTTGCTAGTTTGGAGATTCTGAATGTTTTAATTTTTGCCGTTTCCATGGAAACATTAAGAAAACTTAAACTTTTAGGGTGGGTGTTTTGTACGGCCTCTATCTTTTTAACTATGCACCCTAGCTTAACCAAACTTTCTACACACATTAACCACAATGAGTACTTGTGCCTTTCGCTAGTTTGAAGATTCTGAATGTTTTAATTTTTTCCGTTTCCATGGAAACATTAGAAACTTAAACTTTTAGGGTGGGTATTTTATACGGCCCATAACTTTTTAACCATGCACCCTAGCTTCACCAAACTTGCTACACACATTTACCACAATGAGTACTTGTGCCTTTTGCTAGTTTGAAGATTCTGAATTTTTTTTATTTTTGCCGTTTCCATGGAATCATGGTGAACATGGTGAAACATAAATTTGGGGTAGAGTTTTTGTGCGATCCATGTTTACAATATTATGTATCCTATCTTCAGCAAACTTGCTACATTAACCGCTATGATTGTTTTTTATCTTTTATAACATTCTGAAAGTTTTGTCTTTTGCTGTTTTCTTGGAAACATGATGGAATTTAGAAATTTTGATGACTGGTTTTGTATAGCTAATATATTTTCAAAAATTGTTTCCACACATGTAGATCATCATAAGTAACTGTGCTTTGTGATAGTTTGAATTTATGAATTCTTTACCATATCTGTTAAGGCTAGATGGAAATTATTAATTTATTGATTTTCTTATATGATATTGTACCATTTTTTATGTGTTTTTATATCAACAATTTTTGGTCCTTTTGATAATTCTTCTTATGTAACTCCTACATCAAATTTTTATTCAAAGGCGGGGATAATGACCAGCGGGGATAATGGGGGTATGTGAGCTTTGCTCACTTCTTTCTTGTTTTATTTGTATGTATTCAGTTCTGCTTCTGTAAGGAATTCACAGTTACATTTTGTTAAGGGTTGATTATTAGTCAGATACTGGTGAAGTTGATTGAATTTGATTACGTTTTTTAAGTTTAGACTGTTAAAAGCAAATTTTGATGGAAATGCAAGTTATTTTTTTTATGAAACTTGGTAGGCATGTTGTGTATGACATTAGGCAGAGCGGTGCCTAGCTTGCAGCTGTGATGTTTTTCTGACCGCGTGATTCTTGCATCTTTAGATATGGTAGTCCTAGCCTCCTCCCCCGTGGAGGTGTAGCGCGTCCGTCTGGCCAGCCTCACCGGTCCGATGCACAGGCGGGCAATGTAGCATGTGGATGTATCGTCTGCTTCATGATAAAGTGGTCAATATTAAAATGTGTGAAAGAAAATAAATAAATCTAGAGGTACAAACGGTATGAGTATGTATCCAGCAGTGCTCCACATTATTTACAATCATATGGGTACAGTACTGGTCATAACCCGAACTGACAAGTACCAGACATTCTTATTCAAACCAATAAGAACAGTTCTGCTCTTTTGAAGACTTGACAAGCACTGGTATGATATTGTGCATCCATCGTTCAAAGACCTTGTGTTGTACATTCAGATATCGGTGCCAAACTAACGTAAACATAACCTAAACGAGAGAATTTGAGTGCAGGATCGGGCGAAAATCAATTTCTGCTGACAGGAAATGGCGTATTCCCATTGAAGTAGTAAAGCCTCATATGATAAACGGAAGTTTAACGATGTTTTGAAGATGTTTTGTTTACAATTAATCATGAGGGAGTATTGAGAGAGTACTGCCACTGTTTTAACTCCTTACTCAACAGGATTAAGCACTATGGTGATCGTAGCTCCTTACTCAACAAGGACTTACGATTAAGCACTATGATCATCATAGCTCCATGTTCAACAAGGACTTATGATTTAGCACTAAGATGATCGTAGCTCCTTACTCAACAAGGACTTACGATTACGCACTTTGATGATCGTAACTCCTTACTAAACAAAGACTTACGTTTAAGCACCTACATGATGAGCATAACCCTTAATCAACAAGGACTTATGATTAAGCACTATGGTGATCTCAACTCCTTACTCAACAAGGACAAGGACTTACGATGCTAGTGCTATTCCTGTCGTAACGGCTAAGTTCGTCATGGCTTATGATCTCAGTACTATGACTATTGTAACTTCATACTTGACCTTGACTAACAATGTTGGTGATGGGACTGTCGGAACTTAAGCATGACTTACAATCTCACCACTGTGGCTACCATAACTCCTCTGAGAGCTTGGACTTACGATCCTACAACTATGATGCCATAACTCCTTACAGAGCTAGGACTTACGATCTTCCCATTTTCACTGCCGTTACTCATCACAGAGCTAGGACTTACGATCTTACCATTTTCACTGCCGTTACTCCTCACAGAGCTAGGACTTACGATCTTACCATTTTCACTGCCGTTACTCCTCACAGAGCTAGGACTTACAATGGAGTTGCAGCAAGGGAAACTTGGTTCCCCGGTACAGGTGGTATTGATGTTTGGGGTATGAATGGAATGTAGTCTGGTGCTAAATATATAATAACTGGTATGATGCGCAAGTTCGTGTGCAGTAGTTCATATCTCCGCCCTTGCTTCTTCCGTTGCTATGCCTACTGGGATTAGGACTTGAGTCTTGGAGAATTGTTGTTATGGTTTGATTTTTGTGGAACTGCTTTGATTTTAGGAAAGCCTTGTCATAGAACAGCCGCTGTTAAGCCTGGAGAAGCTTGTGTAAAGTCCAGGGGACATTTAACACCCCAACACAATAGTCATATGGCCACCTCACACTATCTGTGGTATGGAACTACCTCCATGACATCCTCTGCAGGTTGAACATGGCCCCAAACCATTCAGCGATCCTGTTCTTTGAGTCTTGCATCACTCAGATAGTTCTTTCAATGTTGAAACTTTTGGAAGAATTTCTTGTGCAATATTTCGATTTAATTTCATTGTTGAATTTACTGGATTTATAACATCCTCTTGACAAAAGGAACGTCACTGACAGCTTCAGATGTTGAAGGAAGTAAAATGGGGATGACCAAATGTTTATGATGATCAGCATGTAAACAAGGCCAACCCGAGTACTGTGACCCCTGAATATGAGCATGTGTGGTGTTTTTACCACCTGTCTTCAACCAGAATGGTATTTCATATGCACACGGGAGCTGACAGCTAAACCTGGACCTGTGTTTGAGTTATGGTCTGTTTCAACGATGCCAGACTTGTGTCAGACCAAGAATCCGTGTGAAGATGAGTGGGCCAGCGCTGCAGATATTCTGCAAGTACGGGCAAAGGATCTCTGTTATAACGATGATGGCGATGTATGCATTCTGATTAAAAGCGTTGTGTCACTGTGTACATTGCTGGCCCTCTGTGTGTCCGGAGTACCGCTATTGACCAATCAGGGTGGAGCAGGTGACAGGGTGGTTCATCGTTCCAGAACATCCATGTGTGTGTGGCCGACAAACAACCTTCTCTGTTTGGACGTTTGCATCATTATTTCTGAGTGACTTGTCTCCGTGTTGGCGTGACACCGTCTTCCGTGGTTTACATGCGTAGCTGCGTCTGTTGATCCAGTCGGGACGTGCCATCACTCAACGATCATGACGCCATCAATGTCATTTCGCGTCTTCCTGTTTTGCTGCCACCCATGGAATCTATGTGGTCACATGACGGTGTTTGCATGGAGCAGTACAAGATAGATAGTTTGTAGGGAAACGTTCTCAGGCTGCAGTGGAGTTCATCTCTCCGCTCTTACAGACGTGGAGTTAGTGGCATGGTATTATTTGACGTCCCTGTGTGTGCATGTTGGAGGTGGTTGGCGAGGACCGTTCCCCGTTGTCACAATGGGATGCTGGTGTACTCGTTTCTGTTGGTATGCAGGAGTTTACAGGTAGGTCACTAGGTATGACAGTCTCATAGCTGGGTCATGTGATTTGGATGGTAGGTCATGTGACATGTGATGATAAGCCATGTGACATGATGGTAGGCCATGCGATTGTGCTAGTTGGCTTTGTGATTGTGATGGAAGGTCATGTGACTATGATGATAAGCCATGTGACATGATGGTAGGCCATGCGATTGTGCTAGTTGGCTTTGTGTTTGTGATGGAAGGTCATCTGACTATGATGGTAGGTCATGTGACGGATTTTAGATAAGGTGACTTTGATAAGTACTGTATTCATTGTAGTTAGGGTATATGATTTCAATTATTGTTTGGCATGAATAGATGTATGTGATGAGCAGGTATTATAACAACATGGAAGTGATTACAGTGTTGTGATCACTCTCCTACCCAGAGTTCCATGCGGCCGGCAGCCAGCTAGCATAGTACCTCTGCCACAGGCCAGCGCCATGTGACGATTCGTCACATCTTTCACAGTCCATTCAAGATATTGCATAAGCTTTTCATCCGTTTCATGTTTGACAAGTCTACACATTTTCATAAACAAATGTCAAAGAATGGTTAACTTTCATTGAGAAAGTATGCAAATACGTAAAAATCTACTTGTTTTTGCGTAGTTATCCTATGTTTACATTGGTTGTACGGCTCCACGTGCTGTCATCGAAGCCCAACGGAGAGCTAGCGACACGGTCACTTTGATGCATACATATATATTGTCATGCAACTCACTGTCGCAGTTG